CTTTTTTCATTCTTTTCCGATTGCGTGATCTTGTTAGTTGGTTCATGGTATAGACTCTTGACGGTTGACTGCTTCCTGTTTGGTGCTACAGCAGCTATTAGTGGTGGTGGTGATGATGTTGGTCGTTGGCCGGTGGTTGTTGTGTGTGCGGCATGTAAATAAAGCTGGTGCGCTTGTGGACACAATAAGCAAACAGTGGCTATCACTGGCTACACACGACGAACATATCCGCGCACATGTGCGCCAACATGCTCGCTGTCGTTTGCTACAGACGGTGAGCGGCTCATAAGTGATTTTGTACTCAAAGCGTAAACATGGAAAGGAAAGACGCGGATGATGCAATTGAAATACTTATGACTTAGGTTTTTTTATGTATGTGTTACCTAAATTTATTTATATTTTACTTGTATGTATGTACATACATATACATATAGTAATTTAGCCTCATTTATCAAAAATTCAATTAACGCACATGGGATGGATGCATTTATCCGCCATGTGCACACTGCAAGCATCAACACAAAATGAGTTTGTTGCTTTTGTTTCCAATGCGATGCTCGCAACCCGCCCTACAAACGACGAACATGACCCGCAAGCCGCGCATGTGCGCGGATATGTTCGTCGTTGGTAGCCACTGGTGTCGTGGAGGATTTTGCTGAGCGTGAGTGTGGTACTGCGGCACTCCCGTGCTTCGCCGCTGGTTAACAACTCTCGCAGCATTAACACCCGATTTACATGATTCAAGTACTTGAAAGCAATTCTTGCTCATTCTCTTTTGTGTTTTCTATTTGCTTTTACACGTTTCAATTCTGTTGAATTCAAGTTTTTGGTTCTTTAAATTAGAAGCAACGAAAATGCCAAAAGCAAAGCAAGAAAGTTGAAACGACTTGACGGTACAGACGCATGTGTACTCGTCCCTTTTCTTCTCAACCCCTCTCTTCCACATGCGAGCAGAATTGAATTCAATACTTGAACTGTGTAAAAGCGGTCTAAGTTGCGCGATTAGACCTGGTGAGAGCGCGCTGCATATCTACTCAACAGCAGCTCTTTGAGGGCAAATCCGGGCTCGAACAGCAAAGAGTGGCTACCGACCAGCAACCACCACAATTGGACGCGAGGTATGTATGAGCTGGCTTGAGAGTGGATTGAGCGCGCTACGTATAAAAACGAGGATGCGTGGCGGCTCAGCACAGTTCATCGTTGCTGCTTCTTGAGTTTGTTTGTGTTCCATTGAACTCCACGCATGCCAACACGATTTGGTAGTTTGGAGAATAAAATAACCGTATATATGCAAAGACAATTCTAAAACCGTGTACAATCGGCATACGAAAATCGAACGCAATAAATCGACGCGTAAGCGCGTTAAATTGTTTAAAAAATTGAAATAGAAAACTTTTGTACCCACGGGAATGTGCACGAACGTGAAAATTTGATAAACGGAATTTTCAAAAAAAAAAATTAAATTTTTTTTCAAACAGACACTAATAAGTGAAAAGTTGCAGTGTGGCAGCAAAAAATTAATAAAATTACCAAAACGAAAACCGTCAAAATGCACACAGTCGAGGATATGTTGGGCGAGAAAAACTACAGTAAGTGTCCCTTGAAGAAACGCCCGATCAACTATCAATTCGAAGAGGACAGCTCCACGGACATAGGCGATGTGAAAATGTCCATCGCCGAAATTGCCGCGCACAGCATTGACGATCACCCAGATCAGCCCGAAAATTTGAGCCTCAAGAAAGGCGCCTACGACCAGCATGACTTCGCCGCCAAAACCGTCTCAAACGCACAGACCACCATCACAACGCATGACGAGCTCATTAACGTCAGCGATTGCTGTGAGGATGAGGGT